GCTTGCGTGACACAGCTAATTTTGTCTTTTAGTTCGTTCCACGCGTCGTCTGCCGTGCTCTGCAGATTGAGGTCCCAGTTGACGGTTGTCGCTAGGCTGTGAAGCACGGAATAGTTGGCTATAGTTCGTCGGTTTTCATGTCTGATTTCAGTAGTATTGGCGTAACACACATAGGAAAAATTTAACACTGAGTGGTCACTGTTGCCTAATGGTGGATCGTATGAAATTGTCTCAATCATCAACTCTTTGATGGTTAGGATTAAATCCAGAAGCGATGGCTTATTTGAACCGCTGTGTCTAGTTGGTCGGTGCACGTGGTTGTACAGAGCTGCTGTATCCATAAACTCGAGAATCTTTCATTTGAAGTAAGGACCACTAGAAGTCGCTGAGACAATTGTGGGTACGTTAAAATCGCTCATGATTAGACAATGTGAGTACTTTTGAGAAACAGCACAATGAAGAGCGTTTGACAGAATGTCATCTCGGTCTGCAGTGGAGTACGGTGGCCTGTAGACAACTGCCAACAGACAAGCATCCCACGTCTTCTTCGAAGGTTCACCACCTCGGCCATTTAGCTGCATTCGGCGAAGCAAAGCGTCGGAGATAGCAAGGTGACGTTCGTTAATAGCCTCACATCTCAGACAATTCCGATAGTACAGAGCGACGCCGCCACCGCGAGATAGACGATCATTGCGAATAACTGACATATCACTGATTTCGATTTCCGTGTCGAGCATGTCATTGGAGAGCCAGGTTTCAGTTACAGCTATGACATCCCAATTGATTGTGTTATGTCGATGGCGCAATTCAGGTAGCTTAGAGTTGAGCCCCTGAGCACTTGTGTAGCAGCACTGTATCTGTTGACACATTAGGAGCTCGATTCGTTGTGGTTGACCGGCACAGCTTGTGCCGGTCTGCGTACGATTTTTGTCAGAGGCGTTTGCACATTTGTCTGATCTGATTTAGGAACAACCGAGTCCGGTTCGTCTGTATCTGTGGCCCGTACTTTGTTTAGGAACGGTCTTAAACGTACTTCAAGTGGCCCAAGTTATCTGTTGTCGTGCCACGTTTGGACGGCCGTTGATACCATCTCAGGTGTAGCCACGGTGACTTTCAAAATTTTTGGCCCGTTACCCTGATAGTTTAAGGAGGCCGCTAGACGGGTGATATCGAAAGTCACGATATTTTGTATGTTGTAGAGCTCCGTTATGTACCTCCACTCTTCTATATCGTGCTTCTGATGTTCATTTTTATCGCCATGGTTAAGTTCTGGAACATCGTGGTCCAGCACTACTTTCTTCGTCGCATCATGTCGTGACGCGACTGGGTCGGACTTCCATTTTTGCCTTTCTATCCATGTTTTATCTGGGAAAATGCGGGCGCTGAGAGAGGAATTAGTTAGCTTGTGGCCTGTCAGGTCGCGTGTGTTACCAAATATTACTCGTAATAACCGAGGTTGTCCTAAATGCGGCGAGGATGAATTTCGGGAAATGCGCGTAAGACTAGTTGAAGGAACGTTAATTTCGAGAGCACAGCATATCTCTGCCCAGCGGTTTTGTTCTTCCACTTGCCTACCTTTTAACGACTCGCTCGTGGGCTCTGGTACATTTGAACACATAACTGTTAGAGCTTTTTTGTTGTACACTAACTGCTTATCCTGAGAGTTGTTACTGGTGGACATTTGTCTAGTTTGAGTACTCATCTTGTCCCTTGTGCAGGGAGAGTCTGCGCTGCTACATGGCTGCATACGCGGAACGCCGTTTGTTGTGCTGTTTGTGGGGGTCAAATGTTGCTGTCCAACCCGTGACAGGGTTGAGCGTGCAGTTTGTGCATAGCTGTTTAAGCCTTGAGACACTTCACAAAAATTGGGAGGTCGTTCGACAGGCCTGTCTTCGCTGGCGTCCATCAACAATGGTGTGCTATTTTCACCGTACTGTGTGGCTTCTTTACTAAATGGCTCTCGCCTTTTGACAGGTCTGGGATTCGGGCTACTTAATACACTAATCTGCGACTCAAGTTCAGTGGTTTTTGTTAACAAGATAGCGGTCAATTCTTTTTGTTCTGGGACCGTTAGGGCTAAACTTTCACATTTCGCCATAAGCGCTTGAATGATCCTGGCCAACGGTTTGGTTGAACATGCGTCACACACACACACAAGCCGTCGGTCGATATACAGTGTTTTGTAGCCCCATCGAAGGAATTGGAACAAAGTGAGCATGTGGTGACCGACGTGTCTGGACCACTATTGACCTTGGATTTGTTGTTCATTTGCGTAGCGGAGACACTGCGTCGGCCCATCATGTGCGCACGGTGAACAGTGGGCAGTGAAAGATCACAAAGGCTTTGCGTGGCAAAACGCGCTAACGGAGTTACAGCGGTAATTGCCTGATCACAAAATAGCCTCTATTTGTGGTATCTAGAGGTGCACTGCAATAAGTAATGTGTTGTCTAGTAGCCTTAAAAAAGCTCCGTCGAATGGTATCCCAATGTAGTAGGAAAAATAAAAAACAACGCAGTTTCACAAGCAGGTCTTACCGAATGAACTGTCAAAGATGGTGTTCAGGATTTACCAGTGTGTCGTCAGTAGTACTGCAGAAAGACTGAATCCGTTGGATAGGTCTCGACGATCCGAGTCGATTGAGTGTACTTCCGAAGATGTGGCACAAAATGGAAGACGAATAGAGAGAATTAATACAATTATCCAGGAGCGCGCGTCACGCGCAATTCGATGGATTGGACGGACAGCCCCTAACCTCCGGCACTGAGCGTGCGCCCGCGTTGGCGGCTCACTTTACTTCTGTATTTGCAAATAACCATGTGCCTGTTCCGAATTCGCTGTGTACCGTTTTGACCGAACTCGACAGTCTGGATTGCGATGTAGAAGAAGTATGTCAGCTACTCGCCAGCCTTGACGGCACCAAACCTGCCGGACCTGATGGGCTCCACCCACTGATTCTCAAGTCACTTTCGACCATCATTCTCCTGTCGTGACTAACCTTTCCAACAAGCCCCTGTCCGAAATGACCGGAAATCTTCGGTTGTGAAGCCTATTCCGAAAGGTGGCAACCCTAGCAAAGTAGATAACTACGGGCCAATTTGTCTGACACCTATTTTGGCAAAAGTTGCTGAGAAAATCGGGAAGAAGGGATTGATGCAGTTGCTATAGTAAAAAGAAGGTCCTGACGCTCGCACAGAACCGTTTTATGCAAAGCCGCTCACGCATTACAAACTTGCTTGTGACGAGGTATGAGTGCTTGCAGGCAATAAGCAAGGGGAAGTCTGTCGATGTGCTGTTCATCGATTTCAATAAGGCGTTCAACAAGACCAGCCACTAGCTCCTCCTTCACAAACGCAGGATGTGCATTGCCGGTGACTCACTGCACCAGTGTATCCACGACTTCCTTGTTGGGCGAAAATGGAAGGTACAGGTCGACAACCATCTAACTGACTGGTATCCCTCTACAAGTGGCGTGCCTCAAGACACTATGCTGGTGCCCACTCTGTTCCTTATCCACATCAACGATCTACCTCAGCTTCTACGGTTGCCGTGTGCCTTGTTTGCAGATCACCTGAAGATTCAGAGAGAAACTGACGCTTCCGATGACTGTGGCCTACTTCAGCAACTCCTCAACCGCCTATCCACATGATCTGTGGAAGTTCATCTCCCGGTAAACCCAACCAAGTCTGCATTTATGAGACTGGGGAAAGGTGCTGACGGCCGAACCTACATCCTCGACGGCCAGCCGCTATATCCGTGAAAGACCTAGGTGCACCCTCGCGCTACGACTTGAAGTACGTGGACAACACGAACAGGCTATATTGTAACGGACTGCACATGCTTTGGCACTCAAGCGTAGCTTCGGCACATGGTCTGAAGAGGTTGCCACTCGTCTCTTCTTTTCCGTCATTAGATCGATGCTAGAGTAGAGTTCACCCGCTTACTTTAAGATTACAAAATGCGAGGTACAAAAATCGATCGGCTCCAACACGTTGCTACCAGGCTCATCGCGTGTTTACGTGGCTTGGGGTATGAAGACCGGTGTGAGAAACTAGAACTCGACGGATTATCCTACCGTCAGGTGCGATTCGACCTCACTATGGCCTACCGTATTCTATATCTCGGTGATTTCCCTATGCTGAGGCCAGTACTGCATTCAGGAAGGTCATGTAGCACATGCGGACACAGATACAAACTTGTTGCGCCGGATGTGAAGCGAGTTACTCACCCACTGTGCTATATATTTGGAAAAGTTTGCCTGAACATGTGATGGAGGCAACATCTATGCAGTGGTTCAAAATGTTGTTTGATTTATATTTTACCACTACTCAATTCAGAGAACGACTGCACACTTACCATGAGATCTCACATTTGTGACTCAGATATTTTAAGTGTTACATGAGAATGTTAACGATATTCACGGCTGACAATTTTTATGACGTTTTCCACCACATTTCGTAAGTGTTGTAGAATTCATTTCTGCTTGCTCCATAATACAGTATTCAATATTCTGATGCCATATTTTCATCATCATACTATATTTTAGCAAACCTCACCCATTTTATGGCCAGTTTACGCTGGACGGCAGCTTTTGAGCTCATGTACAAAGCATCATGCCAGCAGAACCTTAGACTGAGGGTGCGACTACTTGAGAATGTGGAAGCGGTATGCATAAGATTAACAAATCCAAACCTATGTATTCAAAAGAAACATCTAAGCGCTGCAGCTTCCATAGCTATCACCCAAACGCGGAGTCGTGTCTAACCCAACCATCCCACGTACCTTCCATCACATGATCGCCGAACGCATATCGAAGAACTTGCTTTGAAATTTTTTGATCATTTATTACTCCATGTGCCCATAAGTAATTTTCTCAGCTTTTTACGGTTTATTTTTGTACTTAGCCTGACGACGAACAAACTGAAAAATATAGTTTGGTATGAAGTCACCACTAGCGTTTCTTTCTGGGATAAATCACAGAAACAGCACCGTATTAGCTTACTGTTGCAGCTTCTGTTGATATCGTATGATTGAATGCTTTTGTCGAATAGCGTATCTCATTTTTTCCACGTAATTCAGGTGCTCCATGGAACGGGAGAACATTCTACGCAAAGCATAATCCATTTCTTGTACATTCTTGATGTTTGGATACTGAAGAAGAACGGAACGGGAGTAGAGGTAGCACATCGTTAGCAATACATTAAATATCTCATCCCATAGTATATCTCAGTGACACATTAACACTGGAGTTCTTTCATTATACACTGGTAGTTATGCCTGTGTGATACGGCCGCCATTGCCCACCCAATATCATTAAGTAGGCTAGTGTATTTGGAGCCTAGTGAACACACAAGTAACAGTCAACCGCACTAAAAACGTTCACTTGACTCAACTCGCCTGCCTTCGAAACAGGCGCATTTTTATGCTGGTTGGTGGTTGATTCAACTGACTACTGAGTCTATTTAAATAGCTAGACTTATATCCTGTTGACGTCAAGCTTGATTCCAATGTCGAAAGGGTGAACTGCGAGACGACAGATTCAAGTGGCCCGGCAATTATACAGACATGATTACTTGAAATTAGGTATCATCCTCGTTTTATATTTCGGGCGATGTGCCACCGTCCCCCATGCTCACGAGGTTGCTCTTTCTTGTTAAAGATGAGAAACAACTGGGCTATCGTGACGCAATGCAAAAAGGTATGATATATGGTAAAACGAAGCAGCAATTATTACTTGATACGAAACAAAACCCAAAACAAAATAATATGCTACTATGCATCAGAAATGAGCTCGTGGTCGGGGGGCAAATAAGTGGGAGGGAGTGTAAAGAAACTCAAAATACGAACGCATCTTCGCTATGTCAATAAGTGTATCCAACCAAACGTGTTCGTCGTACTTGGGACCACAGCCCGGTGGTAGGGAGACATCAGCCGATGCCAACTTCGAAGTGAGAGTCCCCATCCTTTCCGACTGTCATCAGTTGACCTCCCCTCCTCCATCCACACACAGATCAGGAAAAGTACGCACGTCGTAGAGTTCACGGTGATGGCATGCGCAACACATAGCCCAACCCTCGGAGCCTGATGCGTGATATAACGATGCCGAGCGGTTCACTCGCTCTTCTTGCACCAAATACGCGACGCCGAACACACACTGCACATCCGGTTGTCCTACCAGACATGTGCTAAACTGGGAAGACAGCGTTAAAATACCTGAGGCGCTCCTCACCCTTAATAATCGAGAGTAGCCTCATGAACATGGGGGACGGCAACATTTCACCTAAACCTCAACTAGATGATGATTCCTAATTTTAAAATGCCACGTATGTATAACCGCCGAACTACTCGGGGCAGTCGTCGTACAGTTCAATATTTCGGCAGTGAAATCAAACTTGGGATCAGTGGCATAATAGTTAACTGTATAGTTCTGCTCAGTGATACAAGCTGATGACTAGTTGGCGAAAGATGTTCCCAGTCATGGTTTAATTCCTGACAGAGCCAGAAGATGCACATCACTGAAAAATCCCGATAGAGCGAAATAACAGTCTGCTGCTTTTCCGGATTGGTGATCAGGCTATCTGGATTGTGTTGCAGCGACGAATCAGTAAACAGGGTGTCAACGGGTATTGGGTGGAACTTCATTACTTCACCTAAAAACGATGATATATATATATATATATATATATATATATATATATATTGCACGCCTTCAATGGTGGTCTATGAACTTACGTTTGTCTTCAATGCATTCACCCAATTTATGCATCCTGGGGAGCAAGCCTTCCCTCGCTGCCCTGCCTCACTCGAACTTGTGGAGCTTTCAGTGCTGGGTGTGCTGACATTTCCATTTTGCAAGGAATATAAATCATCCGATGTGGGGCTGCTCTCTTCAATTAGGGCATCTGGCATTTTCAATCGTTTTTTCGTCTTGCGCCAATCAGATGATTCGGCAGCAGTCTTTACGGTACCAGGGACTGGTTGCACAGATGAGCCTCCCGAGGCACATTTCTCTTGCAAGCTCACTGTAGCGATGGACGACGCCGTACCCACAACAGAAGATGGTACTGATTCTAGGGCACTAAGTTCTATGAACCCATGTAAATCGCTTGCACCTCTTGGTAAGATGTTGAACTCTGATGGCCAGTGTTGAGTGATTATATGAACTGGAAAGCGCTTAGGGATGGGATGCAGTTTGGATAAATACTGGTCCGCTTTTTTTGATGTGGAAGCTAGGCTGGCATAATGAAGGGCTACGGTTATCTTTCCGAAAACGTCCATGATCTGATCTCTAGGTTGATGATCCCGCACGAGATGTCGTCGTAAAAACCTATGCGGGATAGAAAGAAAGCAAGCACTGAAAGCATATCGCACGGAAACAAATACAGTTTTGCCGCACTAACCAGATATGAACAAGGTGAAATATTTGACTGAAATCTCAAACTACTGTTGAGATGTAATCCGACTTTAAGTGGAAGCTAGTGTGCTAGAGCCCTGTTCACAAGTCGCCTTTTCGGGAGTCGCCTGGCAACGTCAGTTGGTGTAGACGCACAAGACAGCACTAAATGATACCCTGTGTTTGCATCTACCTACACTTGATTTGACTGTAATTCCAGTGCAAGAGAACAGTTTGCCACCTTCAGCTGAATTCTCTGTCCAGCTTGGCTCCAAGCTCAGACGTTTTTCTGATGACAGGAAAACGGCCCGCAATGTTATTAGCTTAAACTTAGCAAACTGTTGCTGGAATTCTGTACTATTCTAATAGTTTTCTTATTTTCAATTTACTCACACTATAGACACGATAAATCTAATAAACTTTCACAGATGTACGTCAACAATAATCGTCTGTAGTAACTGTTGACTGGCTGTTGCCGCTGAAGAGAGACTAATTTGTCGGATCTCCACACCAGTTTGACAGTAGTAAACAAACAAAACAATCTCGGCGGTTGTAATTTTGTCGTCACAAGTCATAGTACATTTATTCTTGGCTTGAAGGTTGTGCAGGCGCTCAAGTTAAATGTTTCATTTCTGTCGACCGCAGACACTAGGGCTCAAATGCGTTCTCTGATTCATGACCGCCATAGCGACTGTTGGTATGAAGACTCCTCCAATAGACATTGAGGTCATTGGAGATCCTCTATTACATGATAGCAGAATTCTGTCACATGGACTAAGGGATCCACTCCGGAAGATGTTGGACTCTGTGTGAAAAAGGATTACTTTTGCCAGTGCAAAAATCCCGATGGGCAATACCCATTGTCATACCACTAAAGGCAGGTGGTCAGACACTCAGATTCTGTGTTGATTATGGGATCACTTAACACGAGACTGTGTCAACGTGTCAATGGTCTCCAATCTTGTAGGCGCTCACCAGCTGGTGACGCAGATGCATCACTTTGCACTTAGCCATGTTCAATTGAAGCTTGTTACTCTTTGACCATTCGTAAATGCAATCTAGGTCATGTTGGAGCAGATCCTGATCTGCCTTGTTACTAATCGCCCGCCATATCTTGACGTCATCGGCAAAAAGCAGGAAGTTTGAGGAGATGACTCTTGCCAGGTCGTTGATAAACACCAGGAATAAGCGCGGTCCCAGCACTGAGCCTTGCGGGACACCACATTCCACCTCAATTGGGTTAGAAAGTGATCCCCTAACACGTACTTGGAGCTTTCGTTGGTAAAGGAAGTTGCCAATCCAACCACGTACAGGATCTCCGATTCCGTAACTCTGAAGCCGTTGAAGTAGGATGCGGTGATCGAGGCGGTCGAAATCTTTGGAAAAGTCCAGATAGATGACGTCGACTCCGACCCCATCATCGGCCACTTCCGTCCAACTACCTCGAGCAATAAGTAGGTTGGTGGTGCATGACCAGTGTTGACGGAAGCCATGCTGTTCCACTACCAAGATGTTGCATTTTTCCAGATAGTTCATCAAAGCCTCAGCGACGACTGCTTCCATCACCTTCGCGAGCACAGGGAGGAGAGTCACTGGAAGATAGTTTGCAGGATCGGAACGGCTACCGCCTTTAAAAATAGGGGTTATAATGCCACACTTCCACATAGTGGGGGCTCGTTGTTCATCAAAGCACCTTTGAAAGAACTGTGACAGTGGTTCAGCTAGCTTATTAGCCACAGCCTTCAGTGCCTTCGGGCGGATGTTGTCTGCTCCCGGAGAACTATGTTCGCGCAGTGAGAGTAACTTCCTTAGCACAATTGATGGGTTGAAAATAACATTTGTAAACAAAGGTGTCGGTAATGAGCTTGATATTATGGGACAGGTAGATGTTGCGAGTTCAAAAATTGGGGCGTATTGCAGCCGCAGTGCATTAGCTGCTTCTTCGGCGCTTTGTACTCTACCGCCTGTCGTGAATAGTGGGGGTATTCCATGCTTCACTTTACGAAGCTTATTGACATGCATATACAGCAGTTTGTTGTTTGCCATGAACTTTTTGGCTAGACACTGTTGATACGTTATTTTGTCCTCACGGACAAGTGCGGTGCAATGGTTGCGATGGGTCAGGAAATTTCCTCAAGTCTCTGAGTCTGGGTTAATCTTGTAGGCACGCCATGCTGCATCCCTTATCGCCACGCATTTTCGAGTCCTACTCCTTAGAATTGAAGGGATTTTCGCGGGACGAAGGGGTTTGGTCTCTGATGCTTTGTTGACGATGTCGCTGAGCTTATTAACGAACTCTGCCCAAACGTTGTCAAGGGGACTTTTGTATGAGAATTCCCAAGCAGCTTCGTCGGCGAGTTCTTTCAATACGTGGTAGCGTGTGATTGTATGAGTTAGTTCCGAGTGTTCATATGGATACTCTGCATAACACACATAGTCAAAAGTTATTACTACGTGGTCACTGAGACCTAATGGACTATCCATCAATAACTTGTCAATCATGAGCTCTTCATTTGTGAGCACAAGGTCCAATATGGACGGTTTGTTTGCTGTCGTGAATCTAGTGGGCGTGGTGACATTATTGTACAAAGGGATATTAGCGATCAGTTCCTGCAAGTCTGCTTTGAATTGCTCACTGGGCGATGCCGAAACCTCCAGATTGTGTAGATTGAAGTCCCCGGAGATGAGAGTGTGGCTGTACCTAGTGCGTGTTACTCTGTTTAGGCCACGGATCAAGCAGGAATCCATTTCCAGTGTGGACGTTGGGGGGGGGGCGGTAAACGATAGCTATGAGACATGTATCGTTGTGTCTCAGTCGGAGACAGCACCAGAGTGAGTCGGTAACGTGTGTTTCCAGGTCCTCAACTATTGTACACTGTAGATCGCTGCGGTAGTAGAGTAGGACCCCACCTCCTCTGCTGGGGCGGTCGTTCCGGATGATTGACATTCCGGCTATCTCAACCTCAGCATCAGTCACCTCTTGATGCAACCAAGTTTCGGTAATAGAAATTAGGTCCCAAGCATTCGCAACCTGACGCAGTCGAAGTTCGTTAATTTTACTGAAGAGACCTTGGGCGTTGGTGTATATACATGAAAGTTTCTCAGATTTAATCAATGTTTCATAAGTTGTACAACTCATACGTGAAGTTTCGCCGACCAGTGAGTGGCCGGCGACTGGAGGGGTGGATGAAGCAAATGTGGTTACGCCGACCATTAAAGGGTCGGCGACTAATCGTTTTTTGGATGGGTTGCATACTCTCGAGAATTATTTGATATATAAGCAGGTATCAGATGCTCCGAATCCTGGCGTTTGCTCGTGCTCTGCTGGGCCCCTCCGGATAGTATGGCGACTCTTGAAACCGTCCCCGAGTCGGGTCCTGCAGCTGGCGTTTTCATTAAGAGTTGTGCCTCTACTGAATTGTCATTAAAAGGTGTTGATGTTCTTGCTGCTTTCGGACGAATTTCCGTTGGCAATCTGCAACGGAATTTGATCCAGTTCGCTAGTAGGGTTTGTGCCGTTTGTTCCGACTGTAACACAAGTTGTAAGAGCCTGGGACCGCATCCTTTATAGTTTGGTGATATGGGGATCCTTGTCAACGAGGTGACCACCACATTTTCGAGAGAAAAAACCTCCCGGATGTAGTGACATTGCTCGCGGTCATGCATCTGAGCATCGTCGGAAGAGGAGTCAGTAAGCTCAGGAACACCGTGAGCAATCACTGTTTTCTTATCTTGACTTATTCTGTACCTATCTTTGTTGGCGGGATCCCCTGAACGTTCTTTCCACGGGATTTCGGGTAGTATGCGCACTCCACTTGAGTCGTTGCGCAGACGATTCGCGGACAGCAGAACGGCCTCAGTCTCGTCCGCCGAGTTTAGTGTTACCCGAAGTAGCCGGGGTTCGCCGTATTGCAACGCGTTTGGGTGGCGCGAGATTCTTTTTAATGCCGTGGAATTAGCATGGACTCCGATCGACGTACAGATGGAAACTCACTGATTTCGATCGTCCGTCAACTTACCCTTAATTGTATTGGATTTGGATTCGGGGACATTAGTGCATACAATATTTAGGACACCATGGTTGCGCCTGGTGGCTACTGGTTTTGGATTTCGAGGCTTAGTTTCTGATGTTTTTGTTGAATTTGTGAACGGCCTTGGTGTGTGCCATCCGTGATGCGTCAGTTTTGTTTTCTCTAGTTCGGGCACAAAGGTTACCGGTGCTCTTTCCGGTGTTTGCTTGGCAGCAACCGATGCGTACGTTGCCGGGTTGTTCACTATGGCTGGTTGACTGTACCTTACAGTCTCGAGTGTAGTGAACAGACTACTAGGTGCAGCACACAGTACAGAAGTCGAGGCAGGCGCACTGCAGTCACTGTTTTTACTTATAGGAGGGAGGGAGAATGGAGTTGATACTGCTGGAGGCTGAGTCGTTGGGGTTGGGTTGGGACGCCTGGCTCGCTTCTTCGGCCTGACTAGTGAGTTCGGGGTGTTATTTTCACTCACAAGTGCAGGTCCGTTTCCTCCCAAGGGTGTAACTCTGGCGCTCACCAGTTGCTCGACTGCTTCGGTTAGTCTTTCACACCTCTTCAGTAGCACAGATAGACAGCTAACAAATGGAATAGACTCGCATACTTGGCAGAACCAAAACGCGTCTGCGGTGTTGGCTTTCGTGAACGCCTTCCCAAGGCAGGTAGTGTGGTATGTTTTCAAACACATAGAACAAACCAGACCACTTTTTACGACTTTGGCCCATGATTCGCATTTGCTCTTCATACGAGACATGTTCTCAGTAGGGGTAGGGATGGGACGGAGATACTGACGCACTTTGCGTGGCGATCGGCGCTGGTTCGAGGTCAGCAGGTCCAGGCGTGTCGAGGCCAGATGAATCACGCGTTCTTTGGGGTGGATGTGCGTGCTATCGATCCAGACGGTAG